ATCGACAGTCCCTGGCTGGCAGAGGACAGGAATGGAACAAAGCTAAAAATAAAACTGCTGATAAAGAAGTCTGGCTATATCTCTTGCAAACATCCACACACCAAGGTAGAAGAGAAGCCATTAAGTAAGTAATGTAAGAATATTTGCACAATACAGTCGCGATAAATATCAAATTGCTTACAAGATGGGTGATAGGGATATTTGCTTTTTTAATCCTGTGATGATGAACTGTAAGTTTTGAATTCAAGTGTGCTGAGTTAAACCAAGAGAGAGAGAGAGAGAGAGAGAGAGAGAGAGAGAGAGAGAGAGAGACAGAGAGAGAGATAGATAGAGAGAGATAGAGAGAGAGAGAGAGCGAGAGAAAAAGATAGAGAGAGAGAGACAGACAGACAGAGCCAGAGGGACAAAGAGAGCGCGAAAGAGAGAACTCAAGAATGGTAAATTTGGTTACGTAAACCATAGATGCTTCAACTTCAAGTAATCATTGACAGAGAAACGTTCATACTTAACATAATAAACATATTCATCGGCTCCCGACGTTTTCCTTTTTTAGATTGTCTAGTCGTTAGCTTAGCTAGAGAAGATAGCATGTACCGAGCCGCCAAAACATGTTCATTGCGTACATAATCTAGCATCTTCTACACGCAGCCGTGTATGGCTTCATGATTATGTACGGGTGTATATTCTGTATAACCAGGAAAGATCGACGTAGGAACGATAATATCAGGAGGAGAGTCGGCACGAAGCAATACTGAACTTCGTATATGGACAGAAAGTCAAATGGTTTGGCAAGGTAACATGATGGTCATTATATGGGGCACCATAGAGAGCTGTGTTATACAGTTACAACGGTAACTGAACCATAGGTCGGCCATGCAGAAGATAGACCACAGAAATATCAGAGACACTGAAAAGTGTTGTATACGAAGCGAACAGAAGGGCCCGTTCCAAAGATCTATTCCTGCCCTAACGCCGCGAGGCATTCCAGGAGTAGAGAAAAAAAAAAAAAAGAGAAGTATGTTCTGTACAAAGGTTTAAATCCTCTGTAAAGTGACCGAATTGTGTCTTTTCTTAAGAGCATTACCATATAATTCCTAGCCAGCACTATTTGTGGTCACCATAATAGCTCCACTTAGAAGAATACTGAATCTCTACTGGACATACTTCAGATCCAATACGCAAATAAGACTAGAAACCAAACAAGAAAATGTATCAATTTGTTTAAGAAAGAGCCCCTGGAATTATATTGGCACTCAGAATGAATAAGACAAGACTCCCCAATCATGCCCCTATAAGGACACCGGAAGGGAAAACGAAAACAAAGAAGACAGAGAGAGACTATGCGTAAAACAATAATCAGAGAAGGCTCAACTATGAGCCTAATAAGTATTCAAGACCAAAATCAGGTGGCAACGAACTGCCAGACATGGAAAGTTATGACTTTTGCCCCATGCGCCGCCTTAGGCTAAAGAGGAAAGACTAACACTTGCTCCTATATCAGTGACCAGGCGTGCTGTAACAGCTTTAGACACAGCTTACACTTTCCATTGCAAAATGAAGTTCGGTTACGTCTAGCAGAGCACTTAAAGTTTGTTATAAGTATTAGGATTTTGAAAACAAGACCCGACGCATGCTCACTCCACTTATAAGGAAACTGTAACATGTGAGAGCCACCAGTTATCAATACTAATATTCTAGCCGCGCACGCATACTCTCAACAGCGAAGGAACGGGAATGACAATATCATCTGATGCCCTCTTCAGTGTAATCGTTAATCACAGACGCCTAATTTTATCTAAACCGCTTACACGTCGAAACTGAAGGAGACTCGCCACTGCCCGACGAACTAAGAAGGCCTCATAACATATTAAAAGATCCTTTCTTCACTGTTGCCACTTTTCTTTTACAAAAAACATCCAAAACGAAGTCAAAAATTTCAAAAAACATCTACATTTGCTTGGAAAACATCTAGAAAAAACATCCGAGTGGAAAGAGTCACAAATTACATAGCATTTAATATGACTTACCCTAAAGAATTATGTCCTCATCTTTACTGAAGTCTGCCTCACAAGATCTACAGGATAAACTTAGCTTGGATGATGAAGTTGAAGCTTCAGATCCAAAATGACTCTGGTATGCTTTAGCTGTATCAATTTCTTTTAATACCCAATCAGGGAGCTGATAAGTGGAACAGCCTTTTCCTACTCTTATCAGGCCGAATTTTATTTTCAAGATAGAATTTAAGAGGTCAAATTTCATCCTGTTTCTTAGGTTAGATTTAATAAATTCACTCCTAATAAAAAACATCTAGAAAAACATCTACAATCTAAACATCAAAAACGCCATCTAAATGCAAGGGAAAACATCTAAATCTGGATGTAAAACATCCGAAGTGGCAACACTGCCTTTCTTTCAATTTCTACGTATTAAATTACTACTTATTCTAACATATGATTGGCATCTGAGGCTCAGGCGTTGCAAATGCATTTCGTTATGCCGGGGTGCTGGGTTCGATCCCAGCTGCAGGCGGCTTGGCAAGGGAGAGTTCAGAAGGCAATGACACACTACTGAACTAAAAACTTGACTATAAAACGGCAAACAGCTGAACAATGCTGGGAGGGCTCAGCAACTTCCTGTAACGGATACACTACAAACGTTTTCTAACATCTTTAATCATTTTTGTTGTTTTTTATTTATTTTTTTAATTTATAGATTACAGATGACATTCTATGTCAAAGATCAAGAGACAGCGCGATAACTGGACGATCCAGTAGTGCTAATTTGAGCATCTGTGGTAACGTTAAAAATCACAGCCAGTGTCACAAACAATTCTGGCCTCTAAAAGCTGCTCCAGGAGACGAAGGTAAACTCAAACGGCACGTGTAAATTTATTTACAACTTTTAGAATATTTTACCCTCTTTTAATCACATTTTAAAATGATGGAAGGGGTACATATTAAAAAAGAGGCGTGGGGTCTTGCAATGTACTCAAAGAGGCGTGGTGGTCTTGTCATGTACTCAAAGGGGCGTGGTGGTCTTGTCATGTACTCAAAGGGGCGTGGTGGTCTTGCCATGTACTCAAAGGGGCGTGGTTGTCTTGACATGTACTCAAAGGGGCGTGGTGGTCTTGTCATGTACTCAAAGGAGCGTGGTGGTCTTGAGATGTACTCAAAGAGTCGTCTTGGTCTTGTCATGTACTCAAAGTAGTGTGGTGGTCTTGCCATGTACTCAAAGGAGGGTGGTGGTCTTGCCATGTACGTAAAGGAGGGTGGTGGTCTTGCCATGTACTCAAAGGGGCGTGGTGGTCTTGTCATGTACTCAAAGGGGCGTGGTGGCCTTGCCATGTACACAAAGGGGCGTGGTGGTCTTGCCATGTACTCAAAGGAGGGTGGTGGTCTTGCCATGTACTCAAAGGGGCGTGGTGGTCTTGTCATGTACTCAAAGGGGCGTGGTGGTCTTGTCATGTACTCAAAGGGGCGTGGTGGTCTTGTCATGTACTCAAAGGGGCGTGGTGGTCTTGCCATGTACTCAAAGGAGGGTGGTGGTCTTGCCATGTACTCAAAGGGGCGTGGTGGTCTTGTCATGTACTCAAAGGGGCGTGGTGGTCTTGTCATGTACTCAAAGGGGCGTGGTGGTCTTGCCATGTACTCAAAGGAGCATGGTGGTCTTGCCATGTACTCAAAGGGGCGTGGTGGTCTTGAGATGTACTCAAAGGGGCGTGGTGGTCTTGTCATGTACTCAAAGGAGGGTGGTGGTCTTGCCATGTACTCAAAGTAGGGTGGTGGTCTTGTCATGTACTCAAAGGGGCGTAATGGTCTTGGCATGTACTCAAAGAGGCGGGGTGGTCTTGCCTTGTACTCAAAGGGGCCTAATGGTCTTGCCATGTACTCAAAGAGGCGTGGTGGTCTTGCCATGTACTCAAAGAGGCGTGGTGGTCTTACCATATACTCAAAGAGGCGTGGTGGTCTTGCCATGTACTTAATGGGGCATGGTGGTCTTGCCATGTACTTAATGGGGCATGGTGGTCTTGCCATGTACTTAATGGGGCATGGTGGTCTTGCCATGTACTTAATGGGGCATGGTGGTCTTGCCATGTACTCAAGGGGGCACGGTTGCTTTGACATATACTCAAAGTTTCGCAGGTTCTTACCCTATGCTAGGGTGGAGGTGTGGGGGTGGGGAGAGGGTCTAGCCAAATACTTTGAGGGGGTTGGGGGGGGGGGGATCTGAAAATGGTTGGAAATCACTGCACAAGATGGGTGGGGAGGGGCGGATTCTCTAAATGAGTCAGCCCTCCCTTCCGTTCTCTTCTTTAAAAAATGTTATTGGAGCTCACAGGGCTTTCCACGTGTTCTGCCCTCCCCCTGACCCCCCCCCCCCCCCCCCCCCCCAATAATATGTTTGTTATGCGCATTGGTCAGTTACTTTTTGAATTTCAGTAACTCGGCCTGAAAACAAATGAGGACTTTGTACCTCAGTGCATTCAGGATCGTATATATGTTACCTAATGCCTATATGTGTGAGCTTCACAGTCTTAGCGTACGTATGGAAGTACTCAAACGTTAGGGAATCTGCTTGTATGACTGTGTGTCATTTAGGGAGGAAGGGAGGGAGGGAGCGAGAGAGAGAGGGGGGGGGGGGGGTAAAAAAAAGTAAGTAAACGTCCTTTTTCATCGCCTTTAGGCGTATAGGACATACAGGGGTAGACCTATATTTTTAAAGACTAATCGGTACAAGATGGGTGATGTGATCGGCAACACGGAAGCTGCCTTAACTTCCCGGGACTGAATCCGGTACCCACTCAATGCTGGGTTGAAATGCGAGTTATGGTCATTTTTTGAAAACAGTCCGGCTCCGTCAGGGAGCAAAATTACTACCTTCCAAGCATCTAGCTGCTACGCCACGGCGTTCTGCACAAATAGCCCGAACCATAGGGAATAAAGCCCTGTGCAAATGAAATCGTTCCTCTCAATTTTTAACCATCGACATTTGTATTCTAGGATACGGCGGGGCTGGTGTTTTCATAAACAGAAGTTTACTCACTGAAAGAGAGAAGGTTATCTATGACAACGGCTTGAGAACCTACAGCGCTAACCAACTGGCCAGTGAGAAGACGCCTTTGAGAAGAAACATTGACTTCCATATGCCAGAGTATGACATTTCTATTTTATTTTCTTTTAAATTTGTGTTTGCTGCGTGAAAGCATAAGCAGATCGTCTCAAAGTTTTTTTTCCAGCTTTTCTAAAGAATAACAATGGCGCTGCGTGGTCTCTAGTTATGGCATCCGCCTAGAATGCTAAAGGTTCAGTGTTCAAGCCCCAGTGAAGGCTAAGTTTTTTTTTTTTTCACTTGGACTTCTAGTAATTCCCCCTGGTATCTGGGTAGTAAGATCGTATGCCCATGTGTATTGTTGCGCAGGTTTAAAATCCCTTGGCAGTTGGAAATCGAAAAAAAAGTAGACTAACAGCGCTTCCCGGGCAACATTTGGAGGTAAAAATCTACCTAAAGTATTCCATGATCCTCTTCAGTGCACCGGAGTTCGTGCACTGTTACTTATAAATCAGACTTGAGTTAGAAGTATAACTCAGCACTTATTGGTTACACCCGTGTGTCATGATGTTGATCAGTCGACTAAACTAAAGCTAAACTAAAACTAATCTGAAGAATAACACAAATACGACAATTTTACCAGCAGAGACATTTGTGAAACATGTCACAAGATACAAGACACTTACTACTTCTTGCAGTAATATGAAGATTATGGCTCTTTAGGCCACTAAAAAGTCCTAACCTCCTCTAATAAAATTGTAGATACATAAATATATTTTTAAAAAAGAACACTTTTTAAAATATAAAATTTGCTTTTATTTAAATCACATCATGTGAGTATTGTACTACTAAACAAAATAAACATTATTTACTGGACACAAGACTAAAAATTCTCTTTACAACATTTATATACAGTTGTATACCAGACTAAACAAAAAGTGTGGAGCACCCGATATTTTATTCAATATAAAATACTGGATTAGGCGGAGAGACTTGCTGGATCTACATCACTCGATGGTGAATTGATACATGACAAGGCCCTTTGGGAACAAGCAACGGAATTAGTAGAGAAACAAGATTATAATGGACTGGAGAGAACGAGGCACTTGGGTGTAACCAGAGGGTATGGCCCGCTCACTAGACCCAGAGGAAAGGCAAGGCGGACATACAACCAGATGGCGACTGGTACCATCAGTACTGGAACTCTGCGCTAGCTGCTGAAGATAAGGACGGAGCACACATGGAAATGCCCCGAGTGCTGTGATGACAATTCTTGACTCAACTACTGGAATTGTCAACGCTTTCAAGTCATTATCTGTACATTGTTGATTCGTTTGTTATATATACGATTTGACTTGAGTTGAGTCAAGAATTAACATCACAGTAGGCGGGGCATTCCCAAGCGTAATCCGTCATCATCTGAAGATGAGGACGGAGCACGCATGGCAATGCCCCAAGTACTGGGATGTCAATTTTTGGCTCAACTCATCTCAGCTCAACTACTGGACTTGTCAACGCTTTCAGTCATTATCTGTATATGTTTGATTCGTGTGTTATGTATTAGAATGTTATGTAAATACAAATGTTTACTTCTATCAACGCTGAACCATGATTCTTTAAGCCACGCTATCAATAAATCAGATGCCGTCTCCGCAGTGAAGGTTGGATCTCCAAAACGCTCTGTCGCTTGTCCTGGTTGTACACTCTCAGACTGCTGCCCGTCCATATCTTGATGTTGTCCTCCTACTTGTATCGTTGTCCACCTTTTGCTCTCTTACCTTTGACATTTCCCTTCAGTGTGGTTTTTAAAAGTGTGTTATGTCTTTTAAATTGGCTAAAGAATTCAGATTGTATTTTTTTCGTATATTTTACTATTTCTCTTTTCATTTGTAGCCTTTCCATAACGTTTCCATGAGATACGACCTATTCTTCTGTAAACCCACATCTCCAGAGACTCAGCTTGATTTTCTTGTCGCCCATTCATTGTCCAAGTTTCTGCACCATACAGGGGTCAGAGAATACATTACAATTGACGATTCTCATTTTTAGTGTGTTTCGTATCTCTGTAGCTGTCAGTAACTTGCGCATCTTATTGAAGACAGTTTTCGCCATTCCTATCCTCTTTTTGATTTTTGTTTCACTTCTTCCATCATCTCTTACTACTTGTAATAGACAGGAAAAAACCATGTTGCTTGTCCTAATCTACCATGATCTTCACTTTTGGCCGCTCTTTTCCATTGGTAATTACCATCGTTTTTGTTTTTTAAAATGTTAATGTCTAAACCATACTCTGCACTCCGCCTGTTGACTTGATCAACTAGTTCTGGTAACTCCTGCTCGCTTTCTGCTAGTAGCACTTTGTCATGCCCGTATCTCAAATGGTCTATCGTTCTTCCATAAATATTCAGTTTCATGCAATTCCTCAACCTGTTTAAACAAGTTTTCTGTTTATAAGATGTAACGGCCTGGGAATAATACACATACCTAACGTACTCTTCTTTTTATTTCTTATAGCCTCTCTATACAGTTTTAATAATAATGTTTTATTAACAAGAGATTAATATTATAGACTATACTGAAGTCATAACTACACTTTATAAACCTTACTCAATTAAAAAAACAAAACTGTGTGTGTGTGTGTGTGTGTGTGTGATTTAAAAAAAATATTTATTAATGTTTTATTTTGCATTCGTTACGCGTCGAAGTAATACTCAGTATATTCTGTCTAACTGAAACAGATGCAAGAACCTAACATACGATACTGCAAAGCTGCCCAAAGCCGGGATAGTAATTATCTTCACAGATGAAATGTGGTCCTCGCTGATGAGAACAGTTTTCAGCATTCTAGACGCTGGTCCGGAAGAGCTGATCTCTGAAATTATCCTTGTAGACGACGCTTCTCAAAAAGGTAATAAGTTTCGTGTATACTTGTTTGTAATAGTCAGTTGAAAGATTATCCTCACTGCACATCAAACCATTCAGCCCATATAGTTTCGTCGCCCAGCTTCTGAGTTGAATGCATGGCGTGACCCTGTGAGCTGCGGATTGGATTTGGAATGTTTTTTCGACTGTGACCAACGTGCTTGTGTGAATTGTAGATTCAGAAAATGGCGCGATGCCTGTCGTGCAGTGTTGTGGTGCCCGTATGTGATTAAAATTGATCGCGTGGGCAACTGCTGATCTGTTGGCGACTTCTGCTACCATCAATGATGAACTGCAATTCTAATACTGTGATAAACATTCTGTGTGTTTTTTGTTGGCACAGGAGGGGAGCAAAGATGGGGCTACCTGTTTGCTATGAAGCTGAAACTAAGGCTACCAGACCAGGCTACCATTCAGCCCATAAGTGCTCAGATCCCTTCGTTAGTAATTCCCGCAGCGTGTAGCGGCTCACAACACCAGTTCTGTGTTGGAATGCTATTTTTGTTGTTGTTGCTTTCTGCATAGAGCTCTTGTCTGGCCACACCCGTTTAAACATTTGTTCTAGCAGTCTGATCATTGTTGAGGGTTCACATTCATTACATGCTTCTCACCAGCTTCTTACTTCTCGTAAAGCATTCAGAATATCAACATGGTCCATGTCTCGCCCGCCCTCCATAGTAACTTTATCTGCAAGCCGATCAGTGTGCTCATTTACCTGAACGCATGAGTTCCTGGGCACAACTATGTTTGTAACAGAAGCAGATATTACACCAAAGATAGCAGTGATGTACAGTTAAGTGGTAATTGTATGAGATGTCAACCATTGGGTCAGTGAACAGAGGGAATAGCACTTCCAAGACACCTCAATATAGGAAGCCAGCACGGACTAGGAAACTGTCCTACGGTTTATATTTCCAATTAACACTGTAAGATACAAGAGCATCTGGATAAGAGAAAAGCTGATTAAATGTAAAAGGTTAAAGTTTAGAGGATCGACTTCCAGTCACTGGTATGTATCCCACATGGCTCCGTGTCTCCACAGAAAGGCTAACCGTTTGCCGATAGCGTGGTAAAAAGAAGAAACACCATAGTTGCGGCGGCGATCTCCGGGGTCGTGTAAACGTTGCACTCGTGAACCGAACGACACAGGGCAAGGCAAACCGTCAGAGTGCAAGGCAAACCAAGGTGAATGTCTAGCAACCTCTCGCATCTAAGCAGCATCTAACAATTGTAATGGTAAAACATGTTGTGTTTAAAATAAAATGTGCTTAATGCTCCTATCTCACGCAGAAGTAGGATCTGAGTGGCATTTGCAGTCTACTGCTTTTCAAACCATTCGTTAAACTTTTATATTATTATGTCTGACTGATTGACTGACTGAATTTCTACCCCACTAGAACATCACACAAGCGATAAACACCCGATGACACAAAGTGCCACCATGTGGATGAGGATCACAGTGGTGAGGTCCCAGAAACCGCGTTCAGACAATCGGCCATATTTATGGCCGGCCTATATTGCGGCCCCTGGCAAAACCAGGGTGGGGCTTCAAATGACAAAAAATTTCGTCCCAAATGGGACGAAACTAGATAACTTAAAGCATGTTAAAATATTATTATTTCGTCTTCTGAGTGTAAAATTGTAGGTTCTTGGTTGAAAACTAATCCCTCATCTTTATCAGTATTGTTTTTTTTCCATGATGACGAATAAAAGAAAGTGACCGTTAAACAAGTGACGGTTGATCAGTGTTTTTCTGTACTTTATTTCCCTCTCGTTTGCATACATACAGATCACCTTGGCCAGCCTCTAGATGACTACATTAGAATCTTTAATGGAAAAGTCAAAGTAGTTCGTTTACCAGAGAGGAAAGGTCTGATAGCAGCACGATTGGTCGGATTTGAGCACGTGACAGGAGAAGCGGTCGTCTACCTTGATGCCCATATGGAAGTTAACAAAGGTCGGTGTTATTACTGAACGTGGTTAAAGGTTAAAGTCGAAAGTACTGAGCTTATTGCACTAAGTTTTAGCTCATATGACCCAGTCTCTCTTCTCAGAACAGCTAGCCCCCTACCGAGAGCGCCTCGCAGAGCACGAACTTCGTAGCTCCAGGGACGATGTCCAGGAATCTCAGTAAAAATTGCACTTGTGAAATGAAGGGAGCAAACATATAGTGAACCCACGAGCTTTGGAGCACGAGGTAAATGGCTTGACCACTACGCCACAGAGACTCCCTACTGAAAGTGGTTGATTACATAATGTTAGTAAACAGTAAGAACCATTGCCACTGAAATTAAGGAATTACTGTCCACTTGGACAAAAATGTACGTTTTTGACAGGAAATAATACCCAAACATGGATATAGTTAATCAGTAAATCAATTTCGGAATAGTTTTACTCTTTCAGTACTAAAAAGTACAGTACGTTTTGAAATAACTCTACAGATAATATACTGGTTTTTATTATCTTCTATAGCCATTTGTATATAAATATTTAGTACAGCTACTACTGTACCACAGTCTCTATTGAACTTCCACATACCCGAATTTGCTTTGCTTGTAAGCTAATTTACTTACAATAATAATTTTGTTAAAAAGGGGGAAAGAAAAACGGGGTTTGGGGTCGAAAGTGTTTAAACAATGAATACCTTCTTTAAAAAAAAAGTTGTACGGGAAAATCATTTGGAAATGTTGAGGAATCATCAGGACATCAATCCCCAGACCTAATACTACTGATGATAGGACATCAATGTCGTGAAATGATAAGCCATTACGCATCAGTCTGTAAGACTGGTAACCTAACTTACCTGTAATCGGCACAAAATTCAAACTTGGACTCGCCCGGAAAGATATAGTCCCTTATATCTATATATATAGGCCTTTATTGGACAACATTATTATGTCTACATTTTCTGGTTGCTTTAACTAAACTCCACTTTTAAATGTATATATCTTTGATATATATTAGAGGAGTTATTTGAGGTTTCTTAGAAACCGAGGCACTCCTTGCCCATGTATACTAGGGACTTCTTTTTTTTACCAACGCCTGAAGTGCGTAAGTGACGCGATTCTTTCTTGCCGGTCCCAAGCGTCCAGACGTGTCAATCTATGCCTGTATAATTTCACTTTCACAAGGGGATCTGGAATGTCTCAGTTTTTGCATATGCTTGGGTAAGTTAATTATAGTTTACGAGTACCTAAAATGATGTCTGTAAAGTAGTCACTGCTGTAGAGAGATCAGTATCGGTTGTGGGATCACACATAGTTCGACCGTTCTTCATCGCTAGAGAAGCGGATTCGAACGTAGACCTTCCCCTGTACAGACTAAATAGCCTATGCCCTCAATAACCCACCCATACTGGAAAACCTATAACCTTACAAGTGTGTACTATTTAAACTAACTACAGAAGTTTGTGCATACAAAATGGGGACAGAATTAGGTCAAGACTTTGTCGGCCAGTGTGTAGAGTGTGTTTGACCCAGATCAATGAATGATAAGACGGGCTTTGGGAGTCTGAGGAATAAATGTACTGACAGTAAATATTGGTGTCTGTGTGCAGAGGAGAGGGGAGAGAGAAAGTGATATATGTGTTAGAACACTATATCTATCTCCACTGTATATCTGACTTGCCTTCTCTTGCACTAAACAGACAGATGAATATGGGAGACTTGGGTCTCCTGGTCTGGAGAGGCATTCTGAGGAATGAAACAGGAGAGCAGGGTGGAATAAGCAGATGGGGGTTGATGACTGATGCTTGTTCTGTCTTTCCTGTCAAGATGTTACCCTCTTGGTGATGACTAATTCAGAGTTATTTTCTTGACAGGATAAATCCTTTGTGAGGAGCTGGCAGAAGTTTCACAGTCCAACCAACACCCACCAACCATAAATAAACCACAAACCAACTACCCACCAGCTGACACCTGTGAAGGTTCCTGACATCATCAATATGTGGGAGCTTAGAACTCAAACAGCTACCAGTGCTAGAGCTTAGTGTGGCTCAAAGACATTGTGTGTCCTAACTGGTGATAGAGACTTGCTAAGTACCAGTACAGTGCTGTGTCCTCTATGGTGAGGTACTCTCTTACTACTTGATCGAGTGGAGCAGAATTCCCAGAGTCAAAAACAGTCGAATTATCCGGAGCTGAGGGAGGCATCATAGACAGAAAGAAGAGAAGCTAAGTTTGATGCCTGATTTGCTTTGTGCCTCACAGCTCCTATGTTTCCCAATGATGACAAGATGTCATCTCCAGGACCTTCTGTCTGTGTAGTATCTTTGTGATTTGGACATGATATCCTGAGATCTAGCCTAGGTGATCTGGCATTTGTCTCACTTTTATATATCTATTTTATATTGATTACATGCATTCATTTTCATGGCTGACTTAGGTGTCTCTATTTCACCTTTTTAAGTGTTTAGCAGTTGTGTATGTATGTATCTTCATTATTTGTGTTAACATGGTTATGATAATGAACTATCATAACCTGGGGGGCTTTCTTTAGTAAGTAGTGGGGGTGTCCAGCCAAGTGTGCCTAGAAATATTGTATTCATATACTGACATATTTTGTAGTGCCAATACTTGAGTTGCCCTACTCCAGAGATAAGTTGAGCATATATTGGCCACGGGGAATCCCTTAGACCAATACGAGACAAACGACTCAACATAATTATCTCTGAGTGCTGTTGGTTCTGAAGGAGAAATCCTTACATTAGGCACGCGACAGGAGTGATATGTGACAGAACAACATATCCCCAAATATCTGTGGTCTCGTCGTGCGATTGTTTGTGTACACTGTTCAATCTTTAAATTTGCTGGTGATCTTGGCCAGGAGTTGTTCAGTGTTTATTTTTTGTTAACACAGTTGTGACCATTCTGGGTCAGTTCTTAGATTATACTCCTAGGAGTGATTTGTAATCATTGTGGTGTTTTGTGGTCTCCAGGTACATTGGGTTAGGTACAACCTTGGTTGGTGGTGATAATTTAATCTATTGTTGATTATATTTACATTGTTGGTGACAATATATTTTGTTGTGGACTGTTAGATTGACAAGACAGCATGACGCAGTCAAAAATTTCCATACAGGAATTGAAGGACATGGTTGTCCAGATGGGATTGGAGGGTAAGGAAATGACCGAGTGGATTAAAACCACGGAACGTGAGATGAGGATGGAAGCCCGTGAGGCAGAGAGACTCAGAATTGAGGCAGAGAAGGAAAGTGAAAGACTCAGAATAGAATCTGAGAGGGTGCAAGAAACCGAACGACTCTGAATTAAATCTGAGAGGATTCAAGAAACTGAACGACTCCGAATTGAGTCTGAGAGGGAGTCAGAAAGAATGAGATTGGAACAGGAGGTGAGATTAAGAGAATTGGAACTTCAGGCACAGAGAGAGGGTAATAGACCCAGATCTCCAACACCTGATATTGATGGTGCATCAACGCACAGTAGCTCAGCTCAAGCGATGAACTTTCCTACGCCAGTCTTCGACCCGAAGGCTGAAAATATGGAACAGTACCTAGACCGATTTGGTAAATTGGCATCTTTGTACAACTTGGAAAGGAATATGTACACGCTGAAGTTGGCACAAGGTTTGAGGGGTGAGGCATACGAGATTTATCAACGGATGCCCACCGGTACTGAGACTGATTATGATGCATTGTGTCAGGCTTTGCTGAAACGTTTCGAACTTAATGCTGCGACATACAGACAGAAGTTCAGAAATGAGAGAAAGATGACAGGGGAGAACTATCCTCAGTTAGCCAGTCGCCTTCAGGGATATTTGACCAGGTGGAGGGAAATGTCTGGATACTCCTCTTCTTTTGAAGATTTACAGGAGATGATCCTAACGGAACAACTCCGAGAGACATTACCTCGCCCTACGCAAACCTTCCTGACGGAGAATGGTGCTGACAGACTGAGTGAGATGTTGATGTGTGCTGAGAGGTATGAGATGGCACATAAAGAAGTGTGTATAGGTGGTAAACATAAGGCCCAGGGCCAAGGGAAAAATAATGGTAATGGTCATAAAACCCATCCAAATGAATCCCCTAAAAAGAATACATCCCAAGCACAACCCCAGAACCCCTCAAAAGTTCAGGGAACACAACATAGACAACCCTTTAATGGGCCTAAATAGCCTTACTGCCATATTTGTAAGAATAAAAACCACTGGACTAAGGAATGTAAATCCAAACAGTCAGGGAATTTAGAAGTATCAGCTTTGTTGTCTACTGTAGTATCTTCTACCCAGGAACAATTGTACAATGGTTCCAATAGGCCACCTGTGGTAGAGAGGGTCTGGGCTAACGGATATTCTTTAAATTGTCTGTATGATAGTGGTTTGTCATACGGCTGTGTGGTGAGGCCAGAATTTGTAAAGCCTGATCAGTATACTGGCAGATTCATAGAGCTCCAATGTGCCACATTGGATGCTAAACCTTTAAACTTGCCGATTGCTAAGATTAAGGTCCGTTCAAAGTATGTCTCGGGGGTAATTGAGGCTGCAGTGCTTGAACACTGTACCTTTGATTTAATTCTTGGCGCTACTTATGTATTTTTAGCAAAGCCGAAGAAACCTTCAGAGCATCTTGCTGCGGTAACCACCCGAGCACAGCATAAAAGTGCCTTAGAGGATTCTCCTCATGTAAATCCTCTTCCTGAGGAAATTAAGGTGGCCCAAAGTAGTGATCCAACCCTTAAGGCATGTTTTAAAAAGTTAACTGCAAGTCACAATCCCCCTTTGAAGAAAGAATTCTTCATGAAAGGTAAGTTACTTTACAGATGGGCAGGTGACAAGTATACAGAGCACAGTCAGCTTGTAGTACCCAAAACATATAGACAGCAGATTCTCCAGATGGGGCACACTATAGCCTATAGTGCCCATATGGGAATTCATGCAAAGACACAACGCATTGCCTGTCATTACTTTTGGCCAGGTATGTCAGCAGATATCATGCGTTATGTCAAATCCTGTCCGGAGTGCCAGAAGGTAGCTCCCAAAGGCCGGAATGCACCAGTCGGACTGGGGGAAACCCCTGTCACCTCCACACCTTTTGAAAGGGTGGCGGTCGATTTGGTGGGACCACTTCCTCTCACAAAGAAGAAGAATGCTTACATATTGACCTTGGTCGACTGTTGTTCAGGTTATCCGGAGGCTATTGCACATCGGAGGATTGACAGTAAGACTGTCGCAGAGGCATTGATGAGCATTTTCACAAGAGTGGGATTCCCTTCGCAGATACTGACAGACAATGGATCTCAGTTTAGAGGGAAACTAATGAAGGGGGTGTTTCAGATAATCAAGTCTCAACACATTTGCACCAGTCCATACCGACCCCAAGCGAACGGCCAGAATGAGCGGTTCAATGGAACGTTGGTATCGCTTCTGAGAAGATTAACCCAGAAAAAGCCAGAGAGGTGGGACGAGTATCTGTCTGCAGCACTATTCGCCTACCGGGAAGTACCCAATGCCTCTACTGGATTTCCACCTGCGACCTTGGTGTTCGGAAGACACATTTCTGGACCCTTGGCCATTCTCAGGAAGACATGGACAGACGAAGGGGCAGATGATTCCTTGAAAACCATATCACAATATGTGCAGGAACACAAGGAAAGGTTAAAGCTAGGGTGGGAACTGGCTAAAGAGAACTTGATTCGTGCACGTAAGAGGTACGCTGCACATTTCAACCGGAAGACGAAGGAACGATGTCTTGAGGTTGGAGATAGGGTTCTTTTGCTGCTACCATCAGGGAAGTCTAAGTTAGAGTTAGCTTGGGGAGGCCCTTATACGGTGGTAGAAAAGATATCCAGGATCCATTATAAGATCAACATTAAAGGTAAGTCAAAGGTCTATCACATTAATCTCCTCCGGGAATACAACGAGAGAGAGAGGTAAGTGACACATCGACCCTCTTGACACTTTCTGTAGCTATGGAGGTGGAAGGTGGAGAAGCCACAGCTGTGGAATATCCTCTTCACCCCAGGGAGACCTATAAAGATGTAGAGGTTAACCCAACTCTCTCTGTCTCTCAGAAACAAGCTATAGAACAGCTCTTGTCAGAGTGTAACTCTGTCCTGAGAGTGACGCCAGAGCACACTTCATTAAATGAGTGTTTTACGACATTGGTTCCTGTTGAGCATTTCAGTCAATGCCCTGTGCAAGCTCCTCTTTTTAAAGAGGAATGGAGTAAACCTCCAGACCATCAGGAGGACCAGAAGGTGAAGAATTTTCAATTCACATCAGGGTTTCTTCCTGTGTTTGTTGGAGCACATAGTGACGAGGGGAGGATTATCTCGCGAAGGATCAGAAGGGAGGGATTATATCCCACATGCCTCGACGACCTTCCTGTGTGACTACTGATGTAGGAGACACACCGGTATATTTCCTGAATATGACAGGAGTACCAGGATGGTGTGCGGGTTTATTCAGCCAACCTGATCGGGGGGTTGGTCTGAACCTACATCTTTGCATGTACCTGGCAGGGATCAGTGATGCATGGAGGGAGTCATCAGTCTTAGGTCCTCAGGGCCATCGACTGATTCTATATAGATTCCTTGTTGATTAGTGTTGTATAGTGGTCATAGGTTTCTCTATTTTCACATGGATTGTCATTATTGTATATATTTCATCTGTCTCTGAGAGGTTGGTTTGGTCAACCCTTTGATTCAGAGCAGATTTCTTGAAGCCGCCATCCCTTGTCTGATAATTCACAGACTGAAGGTGATGAGCAAGCTGAAAGTAGTGAGTCCATAGATGTGTAGATCGCTGATCATTGTTCATTCGCGTAGTACGCTCTTCCCTTTGGGGGTGGGGGGGGGGGGGGGTTCCTATAGACCAATACGAGCCAAACGACTCAACATAATTATCTCTGAGTTCTGTTGGTTCTGAAGGAGAAATCTTTACATTAGGCACGCGACAGGAGTGATATGTGACAATCAATCACCAGACATAATACTACTGATGATAGGACATCAATCACCAGACCTAATACTACTAATGATAGGACATCAATTCCCAGACCTAATACTACTGATGATAGGACATCATTCACCAGACCTAGTACTACTGATGACAGGACATCAATCACCAGACCAAATACTACTGATGATAGGACATCAGTCACCAGACCTAATACTACTGATGATAGGACATCAATTCCCAGACCTAATACTACTGATGATAGGACGTCAGTCGCCAGACCTAATACTACTGATGATAGGACATCAATCCCCAGACCTAATACTACTGATGATAGGACATCAATCCCCAGACCTAATACTACTGATGATAGGACATCAATCCCCAGACCTAATACTACTGATGATAGGACACCAATCTCCAGACCTAATACTACTGATGATAGGACATCAATCCCCAGACCTAATACTACTGATGATAGGACATCAATCCCCAGACCTAATATTACTGATGATAGGACACCAATCCCCAGACCTAATACTACCGATGATAGGACATCAATCCCCATACCTAATACTACTGATGATAGGACATCAATCCCCAGACCTAATACTACTGATGACATAACGAAATGTGACTCTTCTTCCAGGCAATACGCGTAGTTATTATTATTGATTTGTTTTTGATCAAGAAGGTACATCTTGGGGGGGGGGGGGGGGGGGGGGAGTTGTTTTATGTATTTTGGTTTTGCTATAGTACAACTGTCGACATCGTCGGCCTAATGTCAGGGTTTTGGGTTTGATCCCAGCTACAAACGATTTTTCTTTCGCTGGTTTAAACTGTGGTAACGAGAGCTGACCGTTGAGAAAGGATTGGCAAACTACTGAAAGTGAAATTTGCCTAGTAAAACCACAACAGTCAACAAATGCTGGGGTTGGTTCTGCAACGTCATGAAAGGGATATGCAACTAACTGACGGTATTATTAAGTAGCCAGGACGAGCAATTCATTGTCACAATATTACAGCAGTTAAATAAAAAAAATAAAAAAAAACAGTGGTTAAAATATTATTAAACTGTATTTGCAGTGATTTCTGAGATAAGAGTTCGAATGGACTTTTATTGTTAAATAAAATGAAGGCAAAATGTAGGGGTTATAATAGATAAAACCGTTATTAGTTAATTCTTCTAGGAAAAACTAGTTTGATATTCGTCCTTTTTAATCTTCATCCTCCCCTCAGGCAAAAATTAATAACAAATATTTGAGTTCCACTGTATAATGAATAGACAGGCAAGGAAAGGCAACTCAAAAATGAAACAAGGACATCGAAAACAACCTTATGGAGATGGGAAAGCATTAGGAAAATCAAACATACAATTTTTTCATTTCTTTCCCAAAAAGGTAACAAGATGGAGAGGAAAAGACGAAGAAGAAGAATAGTAACGAAGATGATGAAACTTGGAACGAGTTTGTCATGCCTACAGTTGTTCTTACAGCACACATGGCTCTGATGTCGCCTAACAATTGTACCATACTCTTCGAGCACTGACCATAGCTTGTCCGGGTTTACACGACCGAAGTTTTTTTCTTGGTTGGGAAAGCCACAATTAGTTTGTTGTTTTATTGTTGAATTTTCTCACTAATCTGTTCTAATGTAATAATAGCACTCATGCAGCCCTTTCCTGACCTGGAATCAAACTTCTAATTATTTACGAATGTTCCACTTTATATTTTACTCTTTACAGTGTATGACGAGTGTCAAATGTAGAGTGTACCCCTAATGTCATCATCATCATGTACCATGACAACTGTAGTAGGCGCTCATGCGTCTTCACGAATCTCGATCCCTGGTAGCCTAGAACAGCTCTCTTGATGATATCCCTTTCATGCCATCGTTTCAGCCCATCCAGTATTAAGTCTCTTGGTCTGCCACTACTTCTTTCCCCACTGATTTTTCTAGTTGTCACGATGTTATCCAATGACTCTCTTCTCATTATGTAGCCAAAGAACAGTGTTTATCTATTTCCTTTTGTTGTATATAAAGATCTACTTCATTCTTTATTGTTGCCCTTATTTTTTAAACCTTACTAAGATCACCCTCTAGTGTAAACGAGCATACTTGTTTTTTCTGTCAAAACAACATGGACTATGTAAAATCATTCCCCCGTTCTTTCTTCAGGTTGGCTGGAGCCCTTGTTACACAGAATCAAACAGGACGAAACCGTCATAGCTATCCCACACATTGACGTACTTGACTGGGACACTTTTAAGGTACTTTCTAATTCACAAAGTCATCATCATGTGAAAGCTGCCATAAAGTAACAGCCAGACTCTAGCCTCCATGCCATCGAAATCATCATCGAGTCATCTGTCTGCCGTCTAGAATCCTTCGCACCACAGATAATCAATCATACACATGTCTGTACTTAAAAACAGCACGACACATGGCTGTTGTACAGGGAATCTTTCAATCTGCAGGCCAAACTTCGCTTGGTCACGCCAAGAGCATTTCAGTTGCATCACACACGGCGTCACTGCAAGATTAGTCAACATAGGTTTAGGTTTATACAATGGATCAACATCATGGCACAAGGGTAGTAACCCATAAGTGTTTCGTTCTTCTTCTAACTCTAACCTGAGTTTAAGACTCTCAGCACAGTGCACGAGCTCTGTAGAGCCGGTGAGGATACTAAACTACGCTGGGTTGATTTTTGTCTTTAAAATTTGCCCGTACAGTGCCGTTAGGCTAGTCTTTTCCATTGCCAAATGCCTATGGATTTTTTACATGCGCAGCCATACACACGGGCGTCCGATCTCACTACCCGGAGACCAGGGGAAATTATTAGAAGTCACGGTGAAAAAAATCCCAGGATTCACTAGGGGACCCGGGACCTCCCCAGCACTTGAAGCTGACGTCAGGCTTCCAGAACACCCAGTCCCCCAGTAAACATACTAAGCCGTCTATACCGATCGGGATAACATCACACAGGTTTATTCTACATAAACATATTTTTCGTTATGTGTTACCCAAGTTTATACGAAGCATTGTCGTTTTTTTATTTTATTTCAGCCTATCTCGGAGACCCCAAGATTTTGTGGGAAGTTCACGGGAAAGTCCAATATCGGGGTAAGGGGGTAGTCGGCATTCATGTCACACCCTATCACACCTATGCTATTCGACTTTCCTGGAACTCCCCATGAAATTTCGTAGTCCTCGAGATGGGGTTACATTAAACCAAAATAAAGAACCGCATTTTCTCCCTTGGTAGTTCACATGCTAACTCCCTCTTACACCACATTTCGATGGTCTTCTAGTCTAGGGTTGCTCAGCTAAGCTAGCTCAGGGGCCCACATTTTGAACATGGGGTTCGTCACGTGCCAGATGCCCAAGCCCAGTATAGAAAGATCGTTAGGACAATACAATTGGCAAAGATCCGCAAGCCACTTGTTAGGCCTCCGCGGGCCAGATTTGGCCTCAGTGTTGGCAGTTGAAAAGCCCTGCTCTAGCCTAACACCTGACAGTCTAAAACAGTCACCAATGGATGAAAGGACTGGTCATATTACCTGTGATGGACTGACATGTATGTACAGTCTATCTTTCCCGTAATATTTTATTTCCTCGTCACTTCCGTCTCCTGACCTCTTTCCCTTATTATCTATTTTTATCTCTGGGCTTTCTCTTCTAAACTAATGGAAATTAACTGGAGTTCAAACCCCTAAACGACCCACCTCCACCGGACCTCCATCCCACTTCCAACCCACCCACACCACAAGCCAGTAAGATAAAACAAACTTAGGATCATTACAAGCTTATGTTTTGGTGTTTCAGTTCAAGTTTACTCCAAACAATAAACAGGCAAGATGTGGCTTTGAATTTAACATGAAGTACAGTTGGATTCCGATACCTCCTCTCGATGGAATCAAGAGGAAAAGTCTAGCCGACCCTGTGGAGTAAGTTAGCTCTTTTGAAATATATAATTCAATCATTCATTCATTGACTTATTCATACACCTGCTAGGTCCATCGGTCTGAGAACTGACGTTACTTCGCTGATGATGTCTAGTCTGATATTCTCGGCAACTCACAATTTTCAGACTATATGATTGTCCACTTGAAACGTCATGGAAGTCTAGAGAGAACAATAATGGAGGGGTATATGCCTGGGAAGAGAGGAAGAGGAAGGCCAAGGAGAAGATGGGTGCAGGATGTGGCAGATGATCTCCAGACGGGTGTATCAGACGCAGGACATCTTGCTCAGGATAGGAAGGTTTTCCGGAGGGTTGTTATGGCAGCGAGGTTCCGCGAGGGACATGCTACTGAATGAATGAATGATTGTCCATGATCCTGAACATAAAATGGTTTGACTCACAGCCCATGGCGATGGCGAGTGAGACTAGCGAGACCCACCGGCGTTAAGAAAGGTCTTTCACAATTATAGCGTGAGATTTCAGGACCAATGATGTCAATATTTGTGTTTTGTCTGTTTCTTCTCAGACGCTCAGCTCTCATCTTTCTGCAATCATTTCTTTCTTCATTCTCATTCCCTTTATGATGCCCCCCTGCCCTCCCCTACCCCTACCTTTTCAAACAATAGGGCCTATGGCCTTTTGTTCCCACGAGTCCACCTCAGTACCTGTAACATTCCTGTCCCGCTTGCACACGACTTTGGGGGTTTAAGTGACTAGCAAATTATTAGAGTAAAATGCTTTTAACTAAACTTATATCAAATATATCGTGAATCGGGTGGTAGGGGAACTAGCTGTTTTTTTTTTTTTTTTTTTTTGGAAGATGTTTACGAAAACTTATTAATTTGTCTCCAATAGTTTAAAAAAAAAAAAAAAAACACACACACACACCAAAAGATTAGTCACACCCCCTAAATTTTGGCAAGGTTTTCGGATATTTTTAAAGAGAATAATTACACTTACTCGGCTTGAATGAGCTCCAGGTAAGTATGTGGCTTAGGCGTTGCGAACGCTCTTTGTAATGTCCGGGTGCAGAGTTCGATCCCTGCTGCAGACGATTTGTCTTGCGTTGGTTTCGACAGTGGTATCTAGAAGCCGACCGTCCAGGATGCAATGCCGATCTACTGGATGTAAAATTGCCTAGAAAAACAACAACAGCTACCAAATTTGAAGATACGCAACTAACTTAAGTATGGCAATCCTTGCTGGTGGGCTTGCTTCTCATTCCTTTTATATGGACATCTAAGGCTTCTGCCATTTAAAAACGTTTAATTTTTAATAAAGCCAAATTTATTCACAAAATCCTATCTAAAGATACTCCAAATTACATAGACCGATTTATTCAATCTAATTCTAAGAATAGCAAGCGATTAGGTTTATTACATTTGCCTAAACCCAAAATTGATTTATTTAAAACAAGTCTAGCATATTCTGCTGCTCATTTATGGAACCATCTTCCACCCGATCTGAAAACTACTAAAAGTCCTTACTCATTTAACCGCAAACTCTTTCATTTCATGATTATCAGTGATTACATGCCACCTTAAATGTAGTTAATAATCCACAATGCATTACAAGTTATAATTAATTGCAGTACGTATGATATGTTTGTATGCGTATATGTGTGACATGCTGGCGTGTGTAGGCGTATTTGTGTATGTATGATTCTGTGTATGCATGGGTAACTGTATACGTTTGTGTGTGTGTATCTGTGTGTAGGCTTGTGTCTGTGAGTGTGTCTGTTTGTCTGTATGGTGTCTGGGTGCGTGTCTGTGTGTGTCTGTCTGCGTGTCAGTGTGCGTGTCAGTCTGTGTGTGTGTGTGTTTTTATGTCTATCTGTATGTGTGGCTGCGTGTGTGTCTGTGTGTGTGATTGTATGTGGATATGTGCGGGTGTGGCTTGGCTGCATGTTTGTCTGTGTGTGTGTGTCTGTCTGTTTGTGTGTATCTATGCTGTGTCTGTAGGTGTTTCTGCGTGTGTCTGTGTGTCTATGCCTGCGTGTGCCTGTGGCTGTGTGTTTCTCTGTGTGTTGTTTCGTGTGTATTTGTATGTTCAAATTTTTGATAGTGTGTGTGTGTGTGTGCGCGTCTGCATGTGTGTGTCTGTGCGAGTATTTGTGCGTCTGTGGGTGTGTTAGTATGTGTTTGTGTCTGTCTCTGTGTGTCAGTGTGTGTGTGTGTGCCATTATGTGTCTGTAGGTGTGTATGGCTGCATGTGTATATGTGTCTGTCTGTAGCTGTGCGTGGCTTTGTGTGTATCTGTGTGAGTCTCTATCGGTGTGTCTATTATATTATGTCAGCGTGTCTCTGCTTGTGTCGGGTTATGCCTCTGTTTGCGTATGTCTGACTGTGCGTGTCTGTGTGTATATCTGTGTATGTGTTGATGTTGCGTATGTCTGACTGTGCGTGTCTGTGTGTATATCTGTGTATGTGTTGGTGTTGCGTATGTCAATGTGTGTGTCTGTTTCCCTGCCTGCGTGTGTGTATGTGTCCCCGTGTGTGTGCCCGTGACTGTATGTGTGTGTGTCTGTATGTGTCTGGATTGTATGCGTGTGTGTTTTAGAGCGTGTGTATGTATGTATGTATGTATGTATGTATGTATGTATGTATGTATGTATGTATGTATGTATGTATGTATGTATGTATGTATGTATGTATGTATGTATGTATGTATGTATGTATGTATGTATGTATGTATGTATGTATGTATGTATGTATGTATGTATGTATGTATGTATGTATGTATGTATGTATGTATGTATGTATGTATGTATGTATGTATGTATGTATGTATGTATGTATGTATGTATGTATGTATGTATGTATGTATGTATGTATGTATGTATGTATGTATGTATGTATGTATGTATGTATGTATGTATGTATGTATGTATGTATGTATGTATGTATGTATGTATGTATGTATGTATGTATGTATGTATGTATGTATGTATGTATGTATGTATGTATGTATGTATGTATGTATGTATGTATGTATGTATGTATGTATGTATGTATGTATGTATGTATGTATGTATGTATGTATGTATGTATGTATGTATGTATGTATGTATGTATGTATGTATGTATGTATGTATGTATGTATGTATGTATGTATGTATGTATGTATGTATGTATGTATGTATGTATGTATGTATGTATGTATGTATGTATGTATGTATGTATGTATGTATGTATGTATGTATGTATGTATGTATGTATGTATGTATGTATGTATGTATGTATGTATGTATGTATGTATGTATGTATGTATGTATGTATGTATGTATGTATGTATGTATGTATGTATGTATGTATGTATGTATGTATGTATGTATGTATGTATGTATGTATGTATGTATGTATGTATGTATGTATGTATGTATGTATGTATGTATGTATGTATGTATGTATGTATGTATGTATGTATGTATGTATGTATGTATGTATGTATGTATGTATGTATGTATGTATGTATGTATGTATGTATGTATGTATGTATGTATGTATGTATGTATGTATGTATGTATGTATGTATGTATGTATGTATGTATGTATGTATGTATGTATGTATGTATGTATGTATGTATGTATGTATGTATGTATGTATGTATGTATGTATGTATGTATGTATGTATGTATGTATGTATGTATGTATGTATGTATGTATGTATGTATGTATGTATGTATGTATGTATGTATGTATGTATGTATGTATGTATGTATGTATGTATGTATGTATGTATGTATGTATGTATGTATGTATGTATGTATGTATGTATGTATGTATGTATGTATGTATGTATGTATGTATGTATGTATGTATGTATGTATGTATGTATGTATGTATGTATGTATGTATGTATGTATGTATGTATGTATGTATGTATGTATGTATGTATGTATGTATGTATGTATGTATGTATGTATGTATGTATGTATGTATGTATGTATGTATGTATGTATGTATGTATGTATGTATGTATGTATGTATGTATGTATGTATGTATGTATGTATGTATGTATGTATGTATGTATGTATGTATGTATGTATGTATGTATGTATGTATGTATGTATGTATGTATGTATGTATGTATGTATGTATGTATGTATGTATGTATGTATGTATGTATGTATGTATGTATGTATGTATGTATGTATGTATGTATGTATGTATGTATGTATGTATGTATGTATGTATGTATGTATGTATGTATGTATGTATGTATGTATGTATGTATGTATGTATGTATGTATGTATGTATGTATGTATGTATGTATGTATGTATGTATGTATGTATGTATGTTCGTATGTATGTATGTTCGTATGTATGTGAATGTGTGTGTGTACTTAGTGCCTATATGTTTGTGTGTAAGTGAGTCATTGGGCTTGTGTGTGTATGTGGGTGTGTGTGTTCGCGCGTGAGCGTGCGTACATATTTTACCAGCCATGCTTTCGTTTTTGACTTCATAAATATAATATGCATATTATTACATGAATATAACATGCTTCATTGATGACATACAACTGCTGTGTGAAAGATGGAAGTTTGGAAGGGCCGAATGTAAGACAGGCCTGCGTGCCTAATTTGTAACCCTTTGAAAATAAAGTTCGTTCGTTCGTTCCTAAGTCTCCTCCGCTCCCTAGCTATTCTGACTTCATGTGATGTATCTTTGGCTTGCCGTTGATCATTTTATATGCGGCCTATATCCTTATCTAGTAGTCTTTAACAAACTGTCCAACAGTGAGCTCCAGTGCCTTTACAATTTCCAAGAATGTACTAGCACCATCATCGAATTCTCGCTGCTATAGAAATCGCTGTAGTTACAACACAACCAATAGATGTTGCAACTCAAATCACTGATGAGTGTCCTGAAGTCATCAAATCCAATCTGATGACACATCAGTGTGACGGATGACATCCAGTTCATTTTTTTCTAAACATTCAGATAAAGAAAATTAATCCAGAGCTGCACTTCTCATAGGTGTACTCTGCTGTTGCTGCAGCCTCTATTGTCTTACTGGTAGGACTATGTACTTTTGCTGACTGGTGGTGGTAAATCCATAACTCCATAAAGCGTCAGCGATTCAGATCTGTCACTGCCAATAGTTCACATTACAAAACCCATTTCTTGGTCTAGCGATAGTTTGTTATTCCCTGTGGAACGTAGCTATGTAAAATAGTCAACTGTCTCCAGCTTTTCACTATCAATGTAAATTGCAGTTCTATCATTATAACCTTGCACCATAACCTGTCTTCTTTTTGCTGATTGTTAGTCGAAATTCACAATATGCATCAGCAAATGCAGATTGTAAGCATTGCAGCTCCCCGTCTGAGTGGGTCGTTATCGCTGCATCAACCGCAAACAGGAGGTATCTGATAAGTACCTCTCTTATCCTGGTTTTGGGCTTAAGTCGACGGGCATTGCAAAGGCTACCGTCAGATAGAGAATGGCTGAATATGCCGCCCTCCTAATCTCGAATAGCATGATTCAAAGAAGTGAGAAGTATATTCTAAAGGGGGTAGGAGCAAGTACACATACCTGCTTTACTATATTGTTGATTACCAACTCCTCCGATGTTACACCATCAACGTTCATTGTATTTTTAAAGCATGTGTGGAACGACTCAGTAATGTTAAATAGGGTAGGTGTTCACCCCCATCTTCTTAAGTGTGTTGGGCAGACTTTTTCGACTAACCAAATCAAACGCCTGGGTAAGATCAGTAAAAAACAAACATTCACTGGTTGATTGAGGTCACGGAATTTTCATGCAACTGTTGTAATGAAAATATAATATCAGTTGTAAACAGGTTACCACGAAAGCCACCCTGCGACTCTGGTTAAACCTTGTCTCCTAGTTGTTTTGGAGTCTTCGCAGAATAATTCTCGCAAGTACTTTTGCAAAAGTATACAGCAGTGATAATCCACTGTAGTTTTTGCAGTCACTCTGATCACCCTTGTTCGTGTGCGTAGTTATTAGGGCGGGACAGGAATGTTACAGGTACTGAGGTGGATTCGTACCACTTGACATCATGAACCGTTTTGCATTTAAAAAAAAAGTAGAGGCTGGGGTGAGAAAAAGCAAAGGTGAGTTTCCTTCAAAATCGGTTTTCAGGAAGCTGAACAGCAGGGAACCAACAGTCTGCATACAAACAAACCAGATCTGTAAAACAGACATGCGCGGAAATGTTTAGTTCTGGATCAAGACGAATATCCACTAGTCAAGCAACAGACAGAACCTTTCGCCGGAGATTACAGCAAATGATCGCTAGGAAGTAGACTTCAACACACATACTCACACACACATACACACACATACACACATACACGCATGAAAACATACACACATACACGCACACACATAGAAGCATACACACATACACGCATACACACACATACACGTATACACATATATGTATTATATATATATATATATTATATATATATATATATATATATATATATATATATATATATATATATATATATATATATATATATATATATATATATATATATATATATATACCCCCACAATGGAAAGTCATTCGTCTAGAGCTAATTTGTTCTAGAACTCCAGCTCACAGTGGCTGCTGTTTTGCCACATACAAAAGAAACTTTGAGAGACTTGGCATGTATGACCCAGGGCTTGAACTTTGGGGTTGTGAAAATATGGAGCTCTCGTTTAAGGTAATGATTTTAGTTGACATTATGATATTCATGTTGTAGATTGTATGTGAGTAAGCAGGAGGACGAGAGAGAGGAGAGAGGAGAGAGGAGAGAGAGAGAGAGAGAGAGAGAGAGAGAAAGAGAGAGAGAGAGAGAGAGAGAGAGAGAGAGAGAGAGAGAGAGAGAGAGAGAGAGAGAGAGAGAACGAAGACTGGAGGCGACATTTTCCACAAGGGTTTCAAAAAAGAAAAGCACACCAGGCGGCCTTATGTCTGTCCACTCACAAACTAATATGTTTCTGTGTGACTGTGTTTAGTATACAAAGAAACTATCAATACACATAGTAATAATATTAGGCATAAAATACAAAACCATGGTTATGGAAAAAGAAAGGTAATAGGAGAGAATGTGAAGCATACAGATGTATATCACTACTGAGACATGTAGGAAAAATGTACGCCAAATTACTAGAACAGAAAGTAAGACCCATAGCTGAACAACAGCTGAGTGCATCACAAATTCGGTTTCAGAAAAGGCAGAGGATGCACAGATGCATTATTCACTGTGAGGTAAATGTGTTAGAAAGCCACTGAGTTTACCAAACAGAATATTGTGTGTATAGATCAGGAAAAGGCTTTTGATAGAGTGAAAAGAAACAAACTGTGGTCTGTTTTTGAGAACAGCAGGGTACAGGGACAGTTACTAGAGAGAATCAAAGCCATGTACCACACAAGCCAAAGTGCAGTAAAAACACAAGAAGGCATATCAAATATGTTCACAGTCAACACAGGTGTGAGACAGGGATGTGTGCTCTCTCCACTTTTATTTAACACCTATATAGATAGGGTATCTAAAGAAGCAAGTTATGATACAAACAACATAGACCTTTATAATCATGAGGAAGTACACACATCAGGATAAGTAATCGATTCACCCACATTAAACGAACTACTATTTGCTGTCGACCGGTGCTTGTTACAACTTGAAGAATATAGACTGCAAGACCACATTCACAGGTTAAACTCAGCATGCAGTAAATACAACATGAAGATCAATGTATGACAAAAACCAGTAGCAGCCAACGTGCATTGGATTGCAAATTATTCCTTCCCAAGCCGCTTAACGGCATAAATGGATTATGATGATGATGATGATGATGGTTACCAAAGGCATGCCTTTAAACATCTACACACGCACGATACAGACAACAACAACAAAAATTAGCACACACCCACATAAACAAACACACACACACACAGACAGACAGACACACATAGCGTCGCACTCATACTGACAAAACATAACACATGCACATACAGACATGATACACACAAGCATACACACAGACACATAAACGAGCGAAAGGGATGAGGAAAAGAAAGAGACCGACGGAAAAGTGGGAGAAAGTAAGGAGAGATAGAAAAGTCCCTAAGTCTTTCTTTTCATCTCCACCTCTATATTCCCTCTCATTTTTTCTCTCTCTCTCTTTCTCTCTCTCTCTCTCTCTCTCTCTCTCTCTCTCTCTCTCTCTCTCTCTGTGTGTGTGTGTGTGTGTATTCCTCTTTCCCCTTTCTCTTTCCACCTGTCCCCTCTTTTCCTTACTCTCACTCTCGACACGTAAGAACTCCAGACATGTTGTTTCCCCCTCAGCGTCTTTCACGCACACGCAGATTTTCTAAAGTAGCCATACAACTAAACCATATCTATACACGTCAATTTCCGACAGGCATGGATGTGTGGGAGTCGGCTGGAGATACTCCCATGTTCACATGTCGGCCACTTGTACAGATCCCATTTTCCGTACACCATGGCAGGCAAAGCTTTTGTATTTGAGAGAAACTGTCTCCGTGTGGCCGAGGTATGGATGGACCAATATAAAGTCTTTTATCATGACAGAGTTGATAATCTACAGGTTAGTCATGTCTCTGTAACAGTAACCAGATAAAGTGTCTATATTTCAATGTCTATAAACGTATTAAAAATAGATAAAGTTAAAGACCGGTGTCTACTACGTTATACATATGTGTACAAAGAAATGAATCCAGTAAAATGTGACTAAAAAGCTGAAAGAAGTGGGGAAGCACAACAACGCGCACAAAACACACAAATCGACGTTTCAGCCGAGGCCTTTCTCAACATGACCTTGTGTACACGTGGGAAATGAATGTTACAGGCAGTGAGATTGATTCATATAAACAAACTATCCTGAGTTTGGGAAAAAAGTCGAGGGGGGGGGGGGGGGGAGGGTGGAATCAGCCAGGGAATAGGAGTACAGTAAAATATGACTGCAAAAGGGCTGAGAGCTGAGTGCACGAGAAAAGCCACATTAAGTATGTGTGATGGCAACAATAGTGATAGAAAACATAACCGCACAGTTATAAAATCTAAGATGAAATTTCTAGAACACAAGGCGAAAACAGTCGCCAACGAAAATGTAAATAAAAAACTATTTCATAGAACATCAATGAGTCAAATGGTTGGGTCATCTCGTCAGAATGAAATAAAATCAGCCATCCGCGGGAGCTTACTACATGAGAAAAGCAAACTAAAATGCATGACACCTACTAAGTAAGAGATGGGAGGATGGAGTAAAAGAGGCAAAACAGAAACGCAATATGACATTAACACAAGCTACATAATTAGCCAATGACAGCAAACTAAATCAAACACCTCTGCGCGACACTTTATGGGTATAAGTATACATTTGTCGTCCTCATGTGGGATGACATTTTTCGTTGTTTTTTTTTAAACCCCCTTTTGCCGGGGACCGTGAATATTGCTGGGTCATCAATATGGTCTAACGTCTGAAAGGGGTTACTGGGACCTCTTCACTGGTGATCCAAATCTGCATGGTGGCCCTTTGTGCCACCGGGTGTTTATGGCTTGTGTGATGTCCTGGTGGGGTACAAGAAAAGAAAGAGAGAGAGTGTGTGTGAGAGAGAGAGAGAGAGAGAGTGAGAGAGAGTGAGAGAGAGAGAGTGAGAGAGAGAGAGAGAGAGAGGGAGAGAGAGAGAGAGAGAGAGAGAGAGAGAGACGCTTTCAGGCAAAGAAAGAAGAAAAAGAGAATTGCAACGACAGTCCTAAATTCCCATGTTCTATTTGTGCAATAATGTTCTCAACATGGCCGGGTCTTGTTAATCAAGCCAGCCATAGCCATGGACCGTAAATCCCATGCTACCGTATAGTGCAGTATAACACTGTCGTCTCAAAAGACGGAAAGGTACCAGCCAAAACTGCCTTTATTACCACTTCTGCGGTGTAGGCAGAGGGGTCTTTGAGTCTGAGGATTTACGGCCGTATAGCTGGTACTGACGCCAGAATTGTGAAGGTGAGGAATTTATTTTACCACCGAAAGACAAAATCCCCAACCTTACCGAGGATTCGAACCCGGATCTCTCGCTTGAGAGAGGTACCAGCAACAAAGTCAAACATCTGTATGCCCCATTGGTACACCCTGCACATTATGCTAGACCAAAAATGCACCTGGACCTGGCGGTTAAAGCTGTATGAGTCCCACCCCACTCCTTCCATCCTTTCCCCTCGCCCCACCCCCCAAGCCCCCCCCCCCCCACTTCCCCATCACCACTAGAAAATATGCGAGAAAGCACTGTTGTCCTTTTAACTAAGTTGTCTTTGTAAGTTTGAGTTTTGTTATTTCATATGACCAAAAAAATTATGATATTTATTTGCCACGCAGCGCATAACAGCCACAATAATGATGACGATGATGATGATAATAGTACTGCTAACTTACAAACAAGACTAAAACCCCATAAGGCCCTCTGCAACGACAAAATGCTACTGGGATTGTGGTGGGGGTGTGGTGGTAAGGTGTGTTCGGCTCATCCGGTGTTTTCTGTGTGGGGATGCACATGCTAGACCAGTAATTTTAAAAACAAATCGGTAGTAGATAAGTGACCTGGTACAACCCCTACAAGCCGCCTTAACGAACCTATTACCAGTGACTGACTGACTGACTTTCTACCCCACTAGGACATCACACAAGCGATAAACACCCGATGACACAAAGTGCCACCATGTGGATGAGGATCGTCACACAAGCGATAAACACCCAATGACACAAAGTGCCACCATGTGGATGAGGATCGCTGTGGAGAGGTGCCAGAAAACCACGTTCAGAGAATTGGCCACTTTTATGGCCTGTCTATATTGCGGCCCCTGGCAAAAGCCAGGGTGGGGCTTCAAATAACAAAAAAATTCATCCTAAAAAGGACGAAAGTGGCTTATATTACCAGTTTAGGCTGAGTCAACATACGTGCCCTGGTCACGTAAACAAGCTGTCATGATATATGTACGCGTGGTTAGTGTGTGTGTGCGTGTTTGCGTGCGTGCGTATGTGAGTGTATTCGTGTGTGTGTGTGTGTGTGCGTGTGTGTGTGTGTGTGTTATTAAAGTCTGAATGTATATTAAGTAAGGTAACCTTTTCCGAACCTGCAATTGTATAGTTGGCATATAGGACTAGGAGGTAGACCAAAAGGCAGTCGGTGTGTGATGTGACGTCTTTCCCTGGTACCCATTTAAGGCTAGTTCGAACTGGCAGCCAGTGACATTTAAAAAATAATCCAACTTTGTCAGAACATGTATCTACCGCATTCTGATCTGCAGGGGACCGTCTAGCTGCTACAACGCGGCGGCTATCCCTGAATAGATAGAAGTACCTCCAGTGTCGATCTGTTGTTTTTCTTTAATTATTGCGTACCGCAACATAAGAGTTGTATAATTCGTTATGTAAAAATTAAAGCATGAAGCAAAGTTATTGTGGAGAGATTTTTGGATATATAGCTGGATAAGCACTGTGTGTCAGCATATGTCACAAGCAGGCCAGTTACCAGTATAGTGTGTGTTTATTACCAAGGCCTTGTGGGGGAACTAATCCGCTTAGTCACACGTGAGAATGCTGTAGGAGTTTTTGACGAGGCAAAAATAGAAAAATGTCGGGAGCTGGAAATCAAAACGGTATGGATTAGTAAAACCGCAGTGCACGTTAAATTACAAATCTGAATTACTTACCCTATGACATAACACACACACACATACACGCACACACACACACACACACACACACTGATTTTAAAAAAAGACATACAGACGTCTACCTGAGAAGAGATACATCATAATTTCTGACCTGCACTCGACTGCAAGTTGAACATTGTTTGTGTAATCGTTACCGTAACCTATTTAGACTGAGATCTGTGAATGCCGTCTAGTTTGCCATCGATTTTGATAATTTTTTTAAATTTTGGGGTAGTAAAACAACCAGATTGCAAATTGAAAAGAAAGCACGGAAGGACAGAAGGCATTTTTATTTTTCACTGTTGCCAGTCAACGGAGTTCGTGCGCTTCATTGAAGACCCAAACGTTGTTTTTGGGCGGAAACAAGGAGACAAATAAAGGCAACTGCAGGCCATAAGATGAACTCTTGCAAACCATGCTTGGCCGATTTGGCATTACTTGTATTTTACGGTGCATGTTGCATGTTTTATTTCTAGTTTGTATCTTCATATTTGATAATATTGTCAAAGCTTTCGTGCTGTTCACAAATTTCACCCATCGTATGTGTCTCGCCCTTCCAAAACTGCTACTGCCCGCTTATCCCCGTCTAATCTGTCTGTGATGTATTGTATTTCCCAAATCTGTTTTTGGGAATCTGTGCATCCCCCCCCCCCCCGTAACTGTTTCATTGTCCATTCAGCAAATGTGCTGATGAAGGTTTCCTATCTGCGACGTTAAATTGTCGTTTTTGTTGGTGATAATGTGAAACTGACAGGCTGTATTTTTCGTCTGGTTTGATAACTTTTCACCATGCATTCATTTATATCACCGACAGAATACAGTAGATATTGGCGACGTCAGTGAGAGGAAAGCGCTCAGAGAAAGGCTCAAATGTCGACCGTTCGACTGGTATGTTAAAGAGGTCTATCCCGATCTGTACATTCCGATCAACACAACAGCAATAGGCAAAGTAAGCATAACCGTTGATCTTCCTAAAATCATATTCAAATGTCAACATAATCTACAAGTGCACATTTCATCCTATATTTCTAGTGTTCTTTCTGCAGATCAGCTAACTATTAGCCGAGAGCGAAACTTCTCAGCAATAGCGACAACCCTAAAAGATTTCTGCAATATGTGTAACAGTGAGCAGAACGAAAAAGTCCAAAATGAACTCTTTACATAAGGTATAACCAGTTTGCCGCCCTTAGCTCTAAAAACACAATGTTACTATTGTTGAATTGATGCGTTGGTTACATCCGTGCTTTACCTAAAGGTGTACCATACAATCCTCATATTAATATAAAAAAGTCGTAATGGTTACTCCCGCCCGGTAAACCGACATTCCCATGCATGCAAGGACATTTGTAATTAGCTAGTCTTTCCTCTTGAGCCTAGGTCGGCACATAGGGCAAAGGTCATAGCTTTTTATCTCTGGCAGTTTGTTGCCACATGTTTTAGGTCTTAGATGTTTGTTAGGCCATGGTTGAGCATGCCTTGATGATTGTTCTACGTGCGGTCTCTCTTGGTCTTCCCCGTTTTCTCTTCCCTTCCGGTGTCCATCTAAGGGCTTGTACTACTGCTGTTTATATGCTGTCTGAAGTTTCAGTAAGTTTAAATCTGAGTGGATCGTCTTCACTGTAACGTGTTTTATTCTATATGCCTTTGTCTCAAGACTCTTGCTGACCACCGAGAGTGTCACACTTAGCACGAACTCCATACCTCCAGCGATGATCACTAATGATCTCTGTATAAATGGCACGTTGGAACCTATCAAGGCAGCCCATGAAACGAACCCACGATCTTCAGAGTGCAAGGAAAAAGACTAAAAAAAAAAAAAAACAGGAAGCAAAGAAAAAGAAAGCAAACTGATGGCGAAGACTACATTTAATGAATTCATAGCGTCTCATAGGTTTCCAAACATAGCATAAA